GAAAGAGATGAAGTTATTCACGATCGAGACTATTGCAGAGGCGAGCGTGAAAACTATTACCATTGAGGGCAAGCAGAAAAAGGGTAACGAGACTAAGGGAGACCCCAAATAGACGGGAGGCGAGTCTAGTGGTTCCAAACATAAGGAGGAGAAAAAGGATGATCCAGGGAAAGCAGAACTGGTTTGTAGTCACTACGAGAAGACAGGGCATGTTGCTGATCGGTGCTGGGAGAAGTATCCTCATCTCAAGCCAAGAAGATTGAAGAAGGAGGAAAAAAATGTATATGTGATAGCTCAAGGTCCGAAAGAAATTCCAGGGATGACAGAGCCCAACAGTAGTCTCAACCTTATGGCGGGGAGACAGGCCACGAAGAAGGACGATGACCCAAGAGAGCAACTCTTTGTGCTTAAGTTGCAAGTGAAGACCAGTTTGGTTGATGCCATAGTTGATCCGGGCAGCGAGAAGAATTTGATATCCGAGGTCTTGGTTCAGAAGTTGGGTCTGAAGATGGTCAGGCATCTGAAGCCCTATCCATTGGGGTGGATTAAGAAAGAGGAGAGACTGAGTGTAGTTGATCAATGCACTGTCAGATTTGTACTCCATGAGTCGTATATCGATGAGGTCACGTGCGATGTAGTTCTATTGGATGTTTATCAGATTATACTGGGCAATCCGTACTTATAGGATAGATATGCGATCTACGAGAGGCGGGCAATCCGTACTTATAGGATAGATATGCGATCTACGAGAGGCGGGCTCAGAAGTATACATTCACCAAGGACGGTGAAAAGTTCATATTTCGTTCGACGTCTCTTCCGAGGGAGACAAGCTTAGGGACGGCAACACGAGCGAAGAGGCTAGTGAATGCAAGCAAGAAGTTTGTCTCGCTGTGCATTAGACTTCCTGAAAATCCATCGAAAGAGGATTGCATGTTGGAGCGGAAGACGACTATGACAAGGCAAGGAGCGAAGGAGTCGTTTCTAGTTGCACGTCGCTATCAAGTTCCTAGCAAGGCCAAGTGGTTCAACAGAGAAGGAGGGGCTCGCGAGTTCCCTCAACTCCAGTTCTAACTTGAACGGGACTTTAAGTTCCTAAAGGGAGGAGCCATGATACGGGTGTATCTTCTTCCTTACTTCGGGAACTTAGCGATCATCATCAGGAGTATGAGGATAGATGATTCTCATGGTATCTTGAGAATAGAGACGTGGAAAAAGTCGTCGGGGACGACAACGTCGAAGACTGCAGGAAAGAACAGAAGAAGGCTGCTGGTGTTTCTGCGGTTGACGGTGAATCGGCCACGGTCGACCGCGAACGTGCACGAAGCTCAGGAGGAACTGGATCTGAAGGCGGTCGACCGTCGCGGTCGACCGCAAGATCCCGAACAACCGTCACGGTCGACCGCATCATGACTGTAATCAAAACTGCTCTTGGGTTTTGGTTCGGTCGACCGCGATACTTTCCTAGGGTTTGGGCAACCAGATTGTAATCAGAAAAGAGATCAGGGAGGTTGTTCTTTGATCTAGAGAGATTGTGAGAGAGAGATTTCTAATCTATTAATTTTCATAATCTAGAGAAGGTATTTTCCTTCGCCCAAATCAACTCTTTTGTGTGTTCTTCTGTCATTTTCTTCGCAACCCACTCTTGATAATTCCGCGATCAAGAGTGCTCGCACGGCGACTCGTATCATTTTCTGAAATTTACCCTTTAAAATGTATCACTAGACAATGGACGTACAAAGAAGGAGAAGCCATTCACGACCTCACTGCTATACAGCAACGCCTCTAATCTATTATGCAGAATATTCTTTTCTAATAAAAGAAAAAAAGACACTGAAATTTGGATAAGTGAGCAGGGAAGTAGCAGTAACCACATAACCACACGAGTGACTACAAGTATGACATAACTATGTTCTTCACTTCTGCAGACATGCGTGCACAATGCTGGTAACCACTTGACCCAAAACTTTACTTGATGGATTTAGTTGCATCTGAATTATACTGAACTGCAAAATTTAGTATTCCCCTTCACATGGAAGACAGGAAAACCGAGTTTTATACGTGCATGATAACCTATGATTAGTAGATACAGACACAGGGTATCTGATGTAAAATTTTCCAAAATCCAGACAAAAAGAGACAACTATATATGTATACGTCACTCATATAAAAGGTGTATATCTTTCTATTCTTATACAAAAACTTAATTTCAGTACAAAGATCAATGAGATAATTAGATTGTTCCCAAAGAGACACAAAATGTTTCATCTTACACATGATGTTGAGCTGCAAAAGCATACTAGAGGCTTTTTCTTATTTTTCTTATTTTTCGTCTGACATGGATGGACGCACATGTTGTTACAAGTATGTTGAACACCGCAACCTTATGTTTGTAGAAGTATATGCCACGTATCATTGTATAGCAAACAAATAATACAAGGAAATAAGTTATCTTTGTGGAGGGATATGAACCAGAGGCCTTTTTTGTCTTTCAGTTCAAATCGCCATTTTACTCAAAATTTTTGAGTTGAGGAATGGTAGACCAACAATTGTACTGTACTTCAATATCCAACATTTCATATAGGTTCTTCCTTTCCCAGTTTACTATCCACCAAAAGACCTCCTTTTCTAATCCTTAGTTCATGAAACTCACACGGCACTCTAATAAGATGGATACAAGTAGGGATGCAAAAGTTCTAAGATAGGATGTTTCAAATGTAAGTCAAGAATACCAAGACTGAAGGATTAAAATAGAATATTTCTTAAATGTTTCAAATGTAAGTCAAGAATACCAAGACTGAAGGATTAAAATAGAATATTTCAATTATCTGAAATGGAATTTCAAATGTAAGTCAAGAATACCAAGACTGAAGGATTAAAATAGAATATTTCAATTATCTGAAATGGAATAGCATATCTTTCTGTTAATCTAAACTACTGAAGGATTAAAATAGAATATTTCAATTATCTGAAATGGAATAGCATATCTTTCTGTTAATCTAAACTAAACTCCTTTTTAGATATAGCATGAATCCCTCGGCTGCTAACTTGAAGTCAAATTGACAAATGAACTGGACATTTTCAGTAATTTTTATGCTATTTTACTGATTTAAATCAAATGAAAAATGTCATTGTACTTTTCATTGTCAAAACAGGTGATAAATGCTCACCAGCATCTTGGACCTACAGAAGCAAGCTTCTCAGGCCTCCAACTTTGGCCCTGAAAATGTACGAAAATGGTCAAATATGTATCATAGAAGAACCCGAAAAGGATTCAACACAATAACCTTACTGGTTCATAAAGCATGCAAACTGTTCATGCTCAGGGAATCCAAAATAACTGGAATTATGATCAGCAAAAGTTTTAATCAATCAATATGATAGTAGAATTCATCATATCAAATGTATCTCAAATTTACAGATATAATCCTACGTATAACTAGATTCCATAATGGCTATTGCAACCGTATATATTATTCATCTAAAACTATCGACACCTTTCTGGCATAACAAAATTTAAAAAGTGAAAGCAGTGGCTGATCTCGGATTTGCGGTAAGTAGTGTTACCACATAATTAATAATTAAAAAATTACAACTGTCCACGATGAGTTTTTATATATTGAAAAATACATAATCACATCATAATAACAGTTTTAAATATATCTTTCTTAAATATGTAAATAGACAATAATAGATCCAATCATTTCTTTTGTTAGTAGTACTGCCAATTATAGCACATTAGTAACACTACCAATCATCCTTTGTGATTGTGAGGGGCGGATCCAAAACTTTCATCCCGATTGTGCAGTAAAAAGGAAGCAAAATGTATTGGATGGTGAGAAGTTTCGGGTGAGAAATTTAGAATCACGTAAATAATTAGATAGGTACCATCAGTTATAGTGTACTAAAGTTGGAGGGTGAGAAGTTTTGGGTGAGAAATCCAAAAATATTGCTTTGGGTTCGTATGCAATCATATAAGCAACAATGGGTTAAAAGAACAAAATTTGAAAATTCAGCCAGTGCCTATCTGAACCTAGTGTGGTTATCCCTTGGAGGAAATGGCACCGAGAAATCCAAACAAAACATTAGTTTCGTTTCATATGCAATCGTATGAGCAATAATGGGTTGAAAGAACAAATTTTCAAAATTCAGCCAGTGCCTATTTGAAGCTAAAGTGGCTATCCCTTGGAAGAAGTATGGCATCACATGACACCACTTCCTCTTAAGGTGGATCCACTACTGTGAAAGATCCATTCTGCTCAATAGAGATGCATCCCTACAACTAAATGATGGATTAAGGAGCCTGCTGTCCATCTCCACAAACACATTGGAACAAATAAATGGTAGACGCCCCTCGTATCATAAGAGAAGAGAAGAAAATAGCACCATCGGAAGTTCCCGACAATACACGATCTCAATATTTTACCAAAAACAAACATATGGTCTCAATATTTTTGCCAAATACCAAAAGCCTTGCAACAATAAAAACGGAAACAATAATATCCTTTGACGTTACTATTAACATAGTCAGCAATTTCATTATCTACTTGTCGATTAGCTACCAAATAAGGAGAGAGGAAGACGTATAGGTACCGTTTGGCAAAGGGTTAAGTGAGGGGTTAAGGAAACTTAACCCATTCTTAACCCGCCAAACACAAAAAATCTATACAAAGGTTGAAGTGAGTTAACTCTTCATAATTTGTCAAACATAAAAATATAGAAGGGTTAAACTAACCCTTCTAGAGGGATTAAAATGAGTTAACCCCTCAAAATGAGGGGTTTACTAATACTCCTATTTAGAAGGATTAAGAGCTAACCCTTCTAATTATAAAGAAAATAGTCAAAATCATTGTTATTCCCAAACACTAAAACTGATCACAGGGGCTAAAATAAAACTTATTTAACGGGTTAATAATTTAGCCCTTCAGATTATCGAATGGGCTAAGTACATTAATTCTTCCCTTTAACCCCTCTTCCTTAAGCCTTTGCCAAACGGGGCCATAATGTAACAAGAATAAGAGGTGAATAGGATATTTTATTTCTTCATAACGAATTATGTACAAAATTTTTCCTGTAACACACTCTTACTGAACTCTTAATCAGAAACCGGACACTTCGGAAGTGGACACAAATTCATCCCCATCTTACAACAACACTGAAAAATTAGAAAAAAGAATATCGACAAAATAACGCCTATAACAATATCAATATTGGCTTAAGGTAAGCCTGATCATTTTTGACAGTTGTTTAAATGTCTTAGCTCCAGTAAGTGTTCATCGTTGGTTATATGAAGCATAAGACGCAGATTAGTTAACAAAGCTTCTCGCTCCCAGCTTAGTGGTCCGGATACATATAACGCCACTATAATTGAACGGTAGGCATTTAACTCCAATTGATGAATTTCAGCAGTCTCTCTCTCTGTTAATGGTTCAGAAAGTTCTCTAGGCTCTCTTCTCACACAACTAGAAGCTTCAGCGTCATCAAAATGAAGGTGGGCAGATGACCTATATGGACTACTTCTAGGACTACAACTACCAACAGAAGATGCATGACTATCAGAATCACTATGTTCTAAACTTCCAAGAAAGAAATGCACGTCTTCGTTTGGATTTCCCCATATGCCTGATTCAGGAAGCCCTGTCATTCTATTGTTTAAGGAAACATTCATGTGTTTTTCACCAAAATCTACCTGTGATGAAACACAAGCATCTACCTTTTCAGGTAATTGACGCTTTCCCTCCTTCCTGACTGCTCCCATCTTCCTTTTCTTCAAGCCTCTCAGAGAAATATGATAATGTCCATCATCACATTTGTCATCTCCCTTGCGTTTTTTCAACCCAGCCCATTGTTGCAGTCTTTGGTGGTTAACTTTCCCCACTTTGGATTGTATCCCCACCTTTCCTTCAGTAAAATTTTCAGCATGCTGTAACCAAATAATAGATCCATCAGATACCATCAACAAAATACATACAATCCCTCAAAAAAAAACAAACAAAATACATACAATAGCAATTTACAATATAAAGAAAATGATAAATTGATAATACCTTGTCAACCGAGATCCATCTATTGCCTATCCAAGACAGCCGTAACCTAATGTTAGATTTAGGAACTTCAAGCTCTTCAGAGGATCCAACGATCACTACGACAAAGTAGTTCCCACCATCAAGAACCTGTATCATCTTCGCAGGCTTCCAAGAGTTATTCTCGAAAACCTCAATAGTATCACCAGGAACCAAATTCCCCAATCCAAACATCGAAGGAGGGCATGGCCTAATATTCTTCCTCTGCACTTTTTTCATATCACAACCTCCATTGGGCAAACAAGGATCAAACTTTACATTATAATATCGCCCGTTTCCTGAGATGATTTCGGCACAGAACCAAGAGCCTGAAGGAACCTCCCTCCTGCTCAAAACCTCCACCTTGCTCCCTTTTCTCAACCTCATCCTTGCAATTCAATCAAATCCTCGATCTACACGAACAATTTCAGGATAAAGTATCAATAATCTGATGCGGCAATAGCTAATGAAAGTTCACATCGATCAAGCAAAACAAAAGTAAAGAATCTGATCAACATCTAAGTACAAATAAACAGAGAACATCAAACAAACACAAATCTTTTGATGAAATAAATTGTAAACATCTAACAAGAAATGATCAGTTTGAGATTAATATTGATCAACAGATTCGCATTCACCGCAAAAATAAGCATAAAAATCTTCTCAGACATTAGAAACAACAGTAAATTAGAGCAATTAACCGACAAATTCTTTCAAAAAACAAGAAAGGATAATAAAAATTTTGAAATTTTACCAGATTAAATTCAACATTACAGGAACTCAAAACAATGTGATGAGCAATAATTGCACCGATCACCGAAATTACATATAAAAGAATCGAATTTTTGAGATATTTCTACAAGAGAACATGACTTAAATCAATCAATTGATTGAAGGAGAGAACTGAACTGACCTCTTGATGAAGGCAAGAA